GGGAGATGGATAAAGAGTGAAGTACGGGCGACAAAAGAAAGAAAATGTATAAATGAAAGCACACACACACACACACACACACGCAGCTATATAAATATATATAAATATATAATTCACCACCACAGCAGGAAGGAACAATACGCACAAAAACGACACACACAAGAACGAATGCGCACCAACGACCTCAATATGACTGCCTCAAGACCCAGAAAACACAACGGCACAGAGGAAAGAGAAAAAATATATAGATATATGCCAGAAATGTTTGAATTCATGGTTCCTTTCCGTCACACCAGTCATTCGTACTCCCCCCTCTCTTCCATTCTGCCTGGTTCGTCTGTCTATTCGTTTTTTTCCCCCTTCGCACGACTATGGCGCAAACCTCTCAATAATTCTTTCATTTCCTTCTCCCTCAAACACACAGAGAGACAGATGCCCATACATTCTGTCTTTATTCCAGATGCTTCGAAAAAAATGCATCCATTTTCTTTCCCCTTCACTGGCCCAGCAACACTAACTCCTCCCAGCTGTTGTGCTCGCTGCTGCTGCTGCCGCTGTTGTTGTTGCTGCTGCCGGGGCCTCCCCCGTTAACCCACCGGCACTGGAGCTCCCAGCAGGGCTGCTGCTGCTGTTATTGGTGCTGCCAGAAATCACCGCGCTAAGGCTTACATGGGCGGGGTCTGAGAGATCATTCTCTATCTCTGCAGGGTTCGGCTGGTAGTTCTCCTCAATCTCCATCTTCCACGTATTCTGGTTGAATAGCTCGAAGCCGTTGGTGCTGCGTCGCCGCATCCACTGCTGCCGCACCTTGTGAAAGCACCATCCCCGATCCAGCAGCACCCGGGCGGCGGCCACCTGCAGAAGATCCCGCGGCATTGAATAAAAGATATACAGCAGCGTCTCGTTCTTGTACTTCTGCAGCAGCTTCAAGGTGGGTTGGCGCGGCTTCGCCTGCTTGTAGCACTCGGGAATGCGGTACTCAGCGATGACGGGTGCCTCAGGCCGCTCTAACGCTAAGCTCGCCAGCGTCGGGTGCAGCGGACGCTGTTGCGCCACGTTGATGCCCAGCGAATTGAGGTCAAAGCCACGGGTCAAGTACAGAAAAGCCGTGTTATCGCTGTTCTCCGGGTTGGCGGAGTGTTGAATAAGCCCAGGGAGGGCCAACAGGCCGTAAGGGCCCTCCACTGTCACACACCCCTTCTGCTGCTGTTGCTGTTGCTGCTGCTGCTGCTGCTGGTGGTGGGCAGCGGCGGGGACAGCTGATTGGTGCTGCGAAGGGACCTGCTGTTGTGGTTGCTGTTGCGGCATCATCTGCTGCTGCTGCTGCTGCTGGGCCACGAACGCCGGTGCGGCGACTGAGAATGCCCCGCGCATCGACTGATAAGGATTTGGCGCTCCTGCCGGAGCAGGGTAACTCATGTGAATGCCGGGCGGAATTGCACCACCATAGCGTGCCGCTGGGTTGCTATTATTCATTCCTGCTCCCTTCGTTCCTCGCAAAGCTAGCGTCTCTTCTGTTTAACTCGTTCTCTCTTACTGCGTCCGTATACCTATGCGTGTGAGTGCGTCCTGCCGGTGTGAAAGGTCCACAGAGAATGTCCTTGCGCACCTTTATCAATACAAAACCACTACCTGTTCCAACTGTGACACTCCAGAGAAGACAACACGAAGCAGAAACGAGTACAGTAAACATCCACGCATACAGACACACATAGCCAGAGACATGTAATGAAGAATCATCCATCTAAATGCATCAATAGACACAGTTGCACACATCAACATGAGCACTCTAGACATATATACATATATATATATATATA